TTGTTCTTGGGTTTAGGTACACTTGAAGGGCTACTTAAAATTAAATTAATTGTCCTTCTAATTCATGATTTTTCTTCAAGCAGAACTTTTATTACTGTAACTTGGGTCAGTACTTGACTACAATCCACCCCTGAACCTTTTTTTAGGTTTTGGATGGACTGGGAAAGATTGGGACTCCTGTTGGGTTTTTACTGCTATTTTGAGCTCCGTTAGTGAGATTTATCCTCACTTCCTGTCCTGCTGACAACGGTTTCCCCAGACAGGAAGTTAGGGAAATCTCCAACAGGGATACAGACAGAAATAACAATCTGAATTTTGTTTTTCTTTTATTAAAGTAGGAAAAGCCTAGAAACCCTATCAGTGTTGCCACATTTCCCCTCACTTCCTTTCTGTTGAGACCATCGTCACTGTGACTGTAATGAGGGGAAATCTCTCTAACCAAGCCCCAGATAGTAGTAAAGCAGGAGCAGAAGTGGGAATTACAATGTAAGGTGTTGCTGCTGAAACCCTCCAGCCGATAGGTCATTCAAATGGCTAAATATTTAGGAAAAGCTCAGGAGAACTTGTTCCTGAAGTCGTCCCGTTTAGCTTTAACACCCCCAGACAAATTATTAGACGTTCCCATCTAGTGTGTGACAATTTACCTCAGAGGGCAGCAGAGTTACGGGAACTCTCTCCTCCTCTAGCATCCGCGTTGACTCCTTCTCCCAATGCAGGTAATCAATGAGGGACCGGTGGTCAAAGTGTCCTGTAGGTGCTTTGTTCGTCTGGTCCTTCTGTATCATTCCCACCGGTAAACGTGGATCCGGCGCCAACACCTCCATCTCTTTCTGGAGCTCCTTCAGTTCTTCTGGAGAGAGGTTGGCCAAAATTTCATCGTCATCGATGTCCCCAAACGATTCCTGAGACTGGAGGTCAGGCTGGCCCGACGTGGCTTTATCCGTCCGGTTCTTCGGCATGACCTCTACTGATAAACCTGTATCTGGCGCCAGAATCTCCATCTCATTCTGAAGCTCCTTCAGCTCATCTGGAGAAAGACTGGCCAAAATGTCATCTTCATCGATGTCCTCAAAGAGCTCATCCATGTCTGAATCCTGGTCGGTCTTCGTCATGGTTGTCGGTGCTGTCCGATCAATGGGTGCAAAGGAAATGAGAAACTACGGTACCTGAACGGAGCTCCTCAGCGTCAGACAAGAGTGTCTACAGCTGAGGCCAGAGCTATATTAAGCCGGCACAAGGCTTCCTAGAGAATTTATGACGTTGCTGCCATGTTCTGTTTTCAGCAACTGGTGTCAGCTGTCCAAACGCTTCTGACATTTGAGTACAGCTGATCCCCCCCTCCTCACATGTAGTGGTCACTTTCTAGAGGATTCCACTCACAGATAGGCAGCATGTGTCATTCTCTGTAGGGTCACCACAAACCTGTCACTTTAAATAAAGATATCATACTTTGAAACACAGTAGTGCCTTTGGCTCTATGTGGAGTGCAGGCGCTGCTTAAAGTGAACCTGTATTTTGACAATACTGCTAATAGTACAAGCAAAATCCAAAAATCTCAAGACTTTGAGCCACTGACTTGGACCAAGAATACAGAGTCCTGACTTCACTAACCTGACATGCTCCACGCTTGTGGCGGGGCAGTAACTCAAACTATTAAAAACAGAGGTGGCCAGGTAACTAGCATTTTAGAAGAAGGTCAGTAATGGCAGCTACCATGCAGAGGCGTCCCGAGGTGGGGTGACAGCAGGTGCGGGTACCAGGTGACACCCCACAGTGACATAATTGCTTACGCGTGTGAAGTCATCGCGCATGCGCGTAATGACATCACGCACTGTACCGCTGTTACCTGCCGGCTTCCATCACGAAAGTGATGGACACCGGCAGAGAGAGGAGGGGACCTCACCTGGCGGGATAAGGTATGCCGTCGGGTCCCCTCCTCTCTCTCTCTCTCGAGCAACTGTCGGGCTCTTGGTCCTTGACAGAGTGCCCGACTTTTATGAGGGGGTGACACAAAAATGACTGTCAGTCATTTTGGTGCCTAGTGTCAGCTTAAGGTGGGATGGCATGGGGGTATGGCCGCGAGGAAGCTCCATCCATACATTGCTTGCAGCTCCCTCATGTGCCCTGTTGAGGTGCCTGCATTGGAGTGACCTCACATTCTGGCCCCCAGCACCTCTACAGGGTGTGCAAGGGAGCTGTGCAAGCAATGCAGATATGGATGAAGCTCTGTCACAGCACAGTAGTCCACACTGGACCCCAGGCTGGGGATCCACTACATTTATTTTTGGAGGGTGTATGTGTGTGTGAGAATGTCTGTTAATGTTTTTGAGGGCTCATTCACACTAATACAGAGATTAATGCACTATACCACACAATCGCACCTACTGCGCACTCCAAACGCACCTCACACCCACAGTTCGACACAGACCCGGGAGCCCTACAAAATTAGCACGGCTGATCAAAAAGATCACTAGGCCACGCCTGCAACACACCACGTTCTCTTTTTTGTCTCGTAAAACGACAGACCTGGGCAACACAGCTACATGCATGGCGTTCTTTGCACTCTGTTGTGAAAACAGAATAGGATTAGCAGAGCAGCTGCACTGTGATTATTGGTGGAGAAGTCAAATCTAGTTCTTGTGTGGTGTTGAAGTGTTAAATCCAGAGATGGAATTATGGAAAGCAATAGGACATGGGGCTGAGGATACAGGTTAATAGGTCTTAGTCTTCGGCTATAATGGAAGCTCCGCTTGCAGAAAAAAAAAAAACCATTCTTGTCATGTGATCACTCTGTAGGAAGAGAAAAATGATCACCATATACTCGCTAATGCATTTATTTATAGAGAGACATTTAACATGACCCTGTCCTCAATGTGGAAAATCCTCTTGGGCTTCTCTCTACCTTCCTGATTAAAGCTGAAGAAGTGCAGCTTTGTTTTCTTCATTGTCACCAGCTCCGGTGCCAATAGCCCTAAAAATCATCATTTGTATACGTCATACACATTCAAGAAATGCTCTGCTAGAACAGAAACTCCAATGTTTAGAGGCATTTCTAGAATCCCTTTAGATGTGCAATTTTCCGGTTCATCAAAAGCTAGCATGCATATCTAAAGGGATGCAGGAGATCCCATTATTGGTACAACTCTGTATGAAGAGCGGGACGTGTCCTGGAGCAACATGGAGTAGGACAAGCGCTGCCCAAGTTCTGTAGGGCATATCCTTTTGAGTTTCCTGCTATTGCCTCTTGCGTTCCATCCTGCCCCTTTCACCGGCCTCCTTACTATCTCTATCTGCTAGAAGTGTCTCTCTTCAAACGAGCTCCAGGCCCTGTAGTTGAATAAGTACCACCAACATGACAGAGGCACGGCTGGGGAAGAGGACAGCCCGCTCTCTCTGGCAACCAATCAGACAGCTCTGGTCACCGCCAATGTCCTGGATGCCATTTCCTATTGCCAATCAACCTTGACTTGGAAGATTGAGGAGGTCAAGATGGGCATCTCTCTGATTCGACAGACCCTGGGACCAGGTGACAAAGTTTAAAGTTTGCATGAGCTACATGGAGGATCTACTCTTGCCATTACAGCGTGCCTCCAGGCAAATGCCCTAACAACTGCAACTCATTATACAGAAACAAGACGACATGGAAAACAGGATGCTCTACAGAAATTTAGGACTTATTGGACTCCTAAGGGCTTGGGCCCAGTTACTTTCCTCTAATGCTTTCTCATTGATACCAATGCGCAAGACCACATCTCCCCTACTTTTGTGGTGAAACGTGCACTTCGCATGGCATCAAATCTGGCAACTACCAGGGCCCTGCTGTGTACCTTTATTGTGGAAATGTTCAACCTCTAAAGACAGAGTGCTGACTGTATGCAGCACAGGCTACAACTGTGAATTTCAGCATCCCCAGCCACCCTCCAGATGTGAGAGATAAAGAATTGGATGTAGCCAAGATGGACCAAGGTAACTACAGCATGGTATTTTAATTCCAACCCCACCAATACCTGGCATGATGGGATTCCCAAAGCAACAGAAGAAACACGATTCCTGGAGACCAGCGCTGACTGTATGCAGCACAGGCTACACTGTGAATTTCAGGATCCCCAGCCACCCTCCAGATGTGAGACATGAAGAATTAGATGTAACCAAGATGGACCAAGTTAACTACAACATAGTATTTTCATTTCAATCTCACCAATACCTGGCATGATGGGGTTCCCAAAGCAACAGAAGGGACACGATTCCCGGAGACCAGCGCTGACTGTATGTAGCACTAGATATGACTGTGACTTTCTGCATCCCCAGCCCCCCTGTGTATGTGAAATATAAAGAATTAGATGTAAACAAGCTGGACCAAGGTAACTACAGCATGGTATTTTCATTCCAATCCCATCAATACCTGGCATGATGGGGTTCCTAAAGCAACAGAAGGGACACGATTCCCGGAGACCAGCGCTGACTGTATGTAGCACTAGCTATGACTGTGATTTTCTGCATCCCTAGCCCCCCTGTGGATGTGTAAGATAAATAATTAGATGTAAACAATGTGGACCAATGTACACTTAAAAAAAAAGATAATTCCTGGAGTTCAACTTTAATGATGTGGCTGACTTTAATGATGTGGCATTCTGTTTGCCTTATTTTTTTTGGGTGGGGTTTATGTCAAAAGAGGGGAGAAATAATTGGATAAGGTTATGTCAGCCAGTATGTAAGTGAAGGTGTCTGCTCACATGTACAGATATTACAAAACAAGTACACACACACAGAGAAGGTTTTAAACAAATGTGACGCATATACTGCATTATATTCATTACATGTACACATGAGGTTTATAGGAGGCTTCTCGGTCTGGTTCTGACGGGCCAACTATAAATAATTGTAGTGGGCACCTGTTAGGATGGCATATGATGCCAGGCCCCCAGGGATTTACCCTGATATTGGAGTCTGGCACAGTTAAAGGCACAGACCTTCTGTGGGATTTGGAGGGGATTAGAGCTATCATGCAGTTTATGATAATATATCAGACCTTGGCCGACGCCAGCAATTGTGAAGTCTGTCTAGAGTTCTGGGAAAGACATTTGGCAACGGCTGGCAGCTTAGACCCGGGTCATTTTTTATTAAAGAGCATTATGGAAAATAAATATTGATCCCCCGTCATTGAGCACCTAAAGAGAGAGAAGAAAACTGAGGCCATCAGAAGCTCTTCCATCTTCTATATCCCTGATACACCTAATAGATTGTAAGCTCTTCCACCTACTATATCCCTGATACACCTAATAGATTGTATGCTCTTCTGCTTCTTGTATACCCACCTGATACACCTAATAGATTGTAAGCTCTTCTGCCTCCTGTATCCTCCCTGATACACCTAATAGATTGTAAGCTCTTCTGCTTCCTGTATCCTTCCCGATACACACCGGGTCTCTGTCAGGATCCAAATGAGCGTCTGCAACAGATGATGTCAAAGCGGGCACATGATCTGCAGCGTCCTTGGTTGCTAGGATACAGGTTCCACGCATGTGTACTAGCGTCCTGAATTCCGAGAGTCCTAATGCGCAGGCGGAAAATTTCGGTTCCACGCATGCGTACTAGCGTCCTGAATTCCGAGTGCCCTACTACGCATGCGTCGATTTCCGGATGTCTGAGGGTCCTACTGCGCAGGCGTCGAATTTCGTTTCCACGCATGCGTACTAGCGTCCCGATTTCCGAGGCTCCTACTGCGCAGGCGTCAAATTTCGTTTCCACGCATGCGTACTAGCGTCCCGATTTCGAGGGGCCTACTGCGCAGGCGTAGAATTTCATTTCCACGCATGCGTACTAGCGTCCTAATTTCAAGGGTCCTACTGCGCAGGCGTCGAATTTCGGTTCCACGCATGCGTAGTAGCGTCCTAATTTCCGAGGCTCCTACTGCGCAGGCGTCAAATTTCGTTTCCACGCATGCGTACTAGCGCCCCGATTTCCGAGGGTCCTACTGCGCAGGCGTCGAATTTCGTTTGCACGCATGCGTAGTAGCGTCCTGAATTTAGAGGGCCCTACTGCGCAGGCGTAGAATTTCGGTTCCACGCATGCGTAGTAGCGTCCTAATTTTCAAGGGTCCTACTGCGCAGGCGTCGATTTTAGGTTCTACGCATGCGTAGTAGCGTCCTAATTTTCTAGGGTCCTAC